CACCCAGATTTTTTTTTTCAATCTGCTCCTATCGAATCATCTTGATCTAATTGTAACATACATACATATATTCCAATATTTTAATATTAACACTTGTTTACAAAAAGGATTTGAAGCTTTAATAACTTCTATTTATAATATGCGAGCGCTTTCGATAGCAGGATGTACTATCATCTTCTCTAGTTTCATTGTTTCTAGTAGTGTGTATTGTATTGTGTAGTATATTGAATGTTAGGTCTTTTTGTGTTTTGATTTGTATTTGTTTTTCGATAAGTGACTTATGGCATTTGAATTTATGGATGTTTTATGATGGGAGAAAGTTATGTTTGTTTTGTATGGCGTGTGTTGCGAGGTTTGATTTATATGTTATTGGGTTTATGTTTGCTTTTTTGTTCTCGTCGTACCTTTGTATCAGTTTTTTCGTGGTTTGGCCGATATAGAATTTGTTGCATTGTATGCTGTACACTCCATTTAGGTTTTATTTATTTATGTATATACACGGGCAAGCCCAATTCAGATATAAGAAGTACAGTGCTGAAGGAATACTGAAAATGAAGGAAAATTAGTTGCATCAGTCAAGTAAGCAAAATTAAAGTACTACTTTGAAAATACACTAATATGGTGATTCTCTCACCATATTACTGTTTATTCCAATATAGGTGATGGGTAGGTTTACGTAATGAAAAACACCATTTCATAATTCATGGATCTCCTGATTATACACTTCAATGAGTGAATGAAGACAGTGTTCCGGAAATAATCAAAACATCTCCGAATTTATTTCGTCTTGAGATATAAATTATCAATGCCCTCTCAATAAATACTCTAGTATTTACATATATGTGAACCAATATTCACATCTAAACAGAAAGATATAATTCACAATGCATGGTGTATCTTACTTCAGATTAGGTATATCGTATCTAAGTATAAGTATCCAAGTTCTTGATTCCATCAGGTGGATAATTGACCCATATACATACGAGCTAATGTTGGCCAGATATTTCGATAGTTCAACCTGTTTGGCATAGTATCGTGTAACAACTGTATTATATTATTACAATGAACGTTCTGTTTGCCCAAGGGTGTGCAGTGTCTCGTAACTGAAACACAAGCATGAGCGAACAAGTACAGAATTGCAGTACATGCACTACTCAGGACTTGGCATTGTTGTGAAGTTACAGACTCCTGAGACATACAGAGCAAATAGATATTTGCACAAATTTCCGTTTTAACCAACACAAACAAATATCACTGTTGAAAGTGATTCACTTTCTTTTATTGAACTTGATTGACAATGATTTATATTAACTGACTTTCAAGGCTACTGTTAAAAATAGACTTTAAACAAAATAGTATATTACGTGGTCCTAATTGACCTTATCCTCGAGGTGTGTACTATAGTTTTTCTACGACTGACCGTAGAAAGAAATGGTAAAATATATTTATTTGAGATGATGGCTTTGGATAATAAACTCATTCAGTCAGTCAGTCAGAACACAATTGAATGATTTAAAAATTGGTGAAAATATTTCCTACAAAGTACATTATTAAGCTTCATGTTTATTATAATTATGTACATTCATAGTTACATTATTACAAATATTTAATGATATTCCGCCTTCGATGTGGGAGGAAGACGGTATTATTTCGTTTTGTTGAGAATTTGAAACAGTGGGAATACAAATGTTTTCAATACTATTGATGAGTGCATTTGATGTGTTTTAAATAATATAATAATGTCAAATACAAAAGGTATTCTTTTGGTCTGTAAAATATTTTCAAATAATTTTTCTTGGCTGTTATAGTTCATAGAATTAACGGAAGTAGGCTTTGCTCTAGAGGCGTTTGGCAAATGAAATATGATTGGCAGTTGACTGGTGACAGTTTTACCCTTTATATTGTGTCTTAGTAATTCAAAAATTGTTGCAAAAATTTCATAAAAAATTAAGAGAAGGAAAAAGCGGAGTTGTGTTACCTTCGAAAACAAATATTTATCTTCTGGAGCTTCCTCAATGAATTGATTTATTTGTTCACTGGTGAGCATCGACGATTTCTTCGGTTCATAACCGTCAGATATGCGTTTTTTGGAGACACATAATTTGGAATATTTGCTGATATCCACATTTTTGTTGATATTTACGAAACTTCTCAGCATTGAGTAAATTGCCCATATTGACGATGGTTTCGAAGTTTTTGCTAAATCTTCGAAATAAACTTGTCGGAAAACGAAGAAGTTTTTCATCTCTCTCCAATTCATATAATTTTCGAAATTAAATTCGTATTTTTGTCTTGATTTTGCTGGTAGCAAATTATTGCTTGCAATATTTGCTTGCTTGGTAATATTTGGTGGGGTAGCACAAATTTCTTTATAATTGAAACAAGTGGTTGTTGATTCACGGATATAACTAGATTCATTACCAACCACAATTTTACATATTTCATCATTTTTTAAAATTTCTTGAGGAAGTGGCCGTCATTAATTCAGAATACAAGTGTAGGTATTCTAAATGAGCCACTACCTACCTGCTGTCAAACGCGTAATGAATAATTTAAAACGGAGGGAGTAGAAAAAGAAATCTATACGTCAAATATCGCACATTATTAAATCAGTATTACGTTGTTCAAAGGGTAATATAACTTGAGAAGTTTTGTGGTAAACAGGGCCGGATTTAAAGAGGGCAAGCGGGGCCACTACCCCGGGGCCTCCACGGGAGAGGGGCATCCACGTTTTTCGTCCCAAATTTTTTTTTTCTAAGAATACTTACACAAACATGTTTGATGTTTAATTTCATTTTTATTTTTCACTAGCGATCTGATACGTCTTCGTACGGGTATCAAAAAATAGGTGAGTAACTGTCTACCTGAAGACAAAATGGGCAGTTAAGTTACACCTGCAAGAATATTTTCATCCGGAGTGTGACGACATCTGACCCAGACGACGATGTTCATATTCGCTTAGTTATTTCAACAACTACTTCAAGTATGTACTTGCTTCGCTCATGACGTATTTCATACATTACGATGTCTAAAACTGAAAACTGTTACGCTTCATATTTCTAAGACCTTTGACCGTATGTGGCATGAGGGTTTGCTGGCCAAACTTCGATGCTATGTCTTGTCGGATCATTTCTAGGTATGGCTCTTCAGCTTCCTGAAAGAACGTTTTCTGCAGGTGACCGTCGATGGATATCTCTCGAATACTTTCACCATCAACGTTGGTGTTTCACAGGGATCCATATTGTCTCCAACCTTTTTTTTTATTGTATATCAACGACTTATTGAAAAAAAGCCAAGAATCCAATATATTGCTTTCCTGACGACAGCACACTTTTGGCATTTGGATTCCAGGACATCGGCTACGGCACATCTTCACCGGCAGCAAGAGGTTGCATATCTTAACCAGGATATAGAAGTGATTCCGAANTGATGTCAGGTCAGATAATTCCGCTTTCTGCTTCGGTAAGTTTGTTGAGGGTTGAAATGGACACCAATATGTCTTGACACAATCATGTCGCTGGAATTGCAAAGGCTGCTTCTCAAAAGCATGGAACACTGTTCCGAACCAGAAAACTATACACATCTCAGCAACTTTTGATGCTTTATAAAGCTCAGATCAGATTTTCTTTGGAGTATTGTTCTCATGTATGGAGCTCTGCCCCAAACATACCCTGCAGTTACTGGATTCCATCCAGAAAGGTGCCATCCGCCTGATTGGAGACGCGAACATCACGTGCAACCTTGATAGCCTGGAATATCGAAGAAAGGTTGGAAATTTGTCTCTCTTCTATAGATACTTTCACGGGAGGTTTTCAAGTGACTTGGCACATTTGATTCCATCAGGAGCTGTACATAACAGAAATACGCGACGGACTGTGGCTGCTCATTCTTCTGAGGTTCAACTCAGTACAGCTCAAACTTCACTATTGAAGAACTCCTTCATCTGGATAACTGCGTTTATGTGGAATAAACTTCCTGAAAACGTGTTTCCAAATGGGTTTGATCTCCAGCGATTCAAATACAATGTGAATCGTTCCTTTCGCACAGCCACCGCTCTGAGAGCGCCTTAGGGATTGTCCTGTAGTGCTTCTGTTTTGTCCTTAAAAAAAAATTCTGGCAACGATCGGGTTCAGGTCGGGTGACTTAAACTGCCAATCGTTTTAGGGAGTTCTAATAATTTTGCATCATCTGATATCAATTTCAATTCTATTTTGCAAATGGCAATTATAATGTGCATGAAATGCGTATGTTAACTAACGTATTCAATTTGATAAGGATTAATATCGTATCTGTCTGAATAGCTTTCCAATTAGGTACTACATTATATGTGAACATTTTTTAAATATCAAACGGGGTGTAGTAAGCTATCTTTGAAAGATAGATATATGCAATCATAAACTTCTCTGTAGGCCTATAGACGAACAATATGTAGTGAATTGTTTCATTATATCTCGGAGAATAGACAGCATTTTCGATTAAGGTTTCCCGGCTTAATCCGCATAACATCGACATATTTTAACAAATTTACACAAATCATTAATGGATTTTACACCTTAACCTTTCTCAGGAATCAATCCCATCCTGGGTGAAAACTTTATGAAAATCATCCCTATAGTTTTTGGGTTCATACCGTTTAGTTTAGACGATCATTAGATAGACACGGCTATTCAAATTCGTTTCTGTACATGGGGATCTCGTAAACGATAAGAGATAGAGTGTCGGTTAAATTATGGCAAAGTTGTGTATTTTGATCAGAACAGATTTCTATGTTGTTTTCTGATCAGTAACACATTAGGATATTTATCGGTATTGGGATATGGCACATCGGAAAATTGAGTCCAACCACTCATGTCTACGAGTCGATTTAATGACATGTTGATATAATCGTGTTACTTGGTAACCTTTGGTCCGATCCTAAATCATTTGATAGAGATCATTTGATAAAACTTTCATACTGTCTATGACGTTTTTCGGTATCAATTGAGTTTCATTCAATAATATTTTATATGAAAATAATTTTATTAACCCTTTACAAAATCGAAATTTCTATTCAAATATGACTGAAGTCACTCAAATATTTTCTGATTTGAAATCCCACCATTTTCGATATATTCTGTATGAAATCGAAGTTCACATTACACTTGTATTTTTGACCGTCCAGAAAACAAGAATCGGAGACACAAGACAAAAGCCTCAATTCAACTAAGCTGGAAACTTGTACTAATAAGTTGTTATTGAAGCCAACATTTTCATCCAAAATTGAGTAGAAAATTGCTAGCAATCTATCGAAAGTGAAAGGTTTCGGTCCAAGCTGAGTATTCAACCGCTCACTCACTTTACTTTTCAACTTAATATCCTTCATCTTTTTAGTCTTTTTTCCATGATACTTCATGAAAAGCCTCTTATCATCTTTGGCGGAATTGTAACTAGCTAAATAGGCTGCTATCAATAGATATTTTGCGTAAAAAGGAAGTTCCAAAGTCTGTGCGGCGTTATCTTTGGGTAATGAAGTTTTCGGAGAGTCCTCGATGTCAGTTGTTGGATCTACTCTTAAGTACAAAACTTCCAACGAAGCTTTCAGCACGCCAGAAATGTTCCTCCACAAGGCCATATTATCGTTAATGGTGTACTCTTTATTAATGATGGGTTGACAATATTTCACAAAGTTAACTCTGGACATGTGTCGAAGTTCCGATAAGTCCCGACAAGCGCGGTAGAATACCGACAAGAAAGCGTTCAAGTAATTCTGGTAGAAACTCAAATCGAAGTCTAAGAACTCGTTTGAGTAACGAGCAATCATTTCTCTAGCGTTTTCAATGTCCATAGAGAGGATTTCTAATAATTCATTCTTTTTATACTGTGGAAAATAAATTTTCAAAGGTTCGACAATGTTGCTTCTCGCATAATATTTTTCGAAAACAATCTCCGATATGAAAACTACGCTGACGGAAATACCACACAGTTCTCTGAGTCTCAAAAATCCCGCTAATAAGTTGAATTCCATATTCCTGAGTTCTTCTGCTTTGTCCAGTACAAGTACGGATCGTTCGAGGCTATTCTCCCTGGAGCATTTCTGCAATTGTGATATAAAGTCCATCATGTTGTCACATCGTGCATAGGGATGTGGATTGTTAGGGTCCATTTTGTGAGCGGATAGCTTGTTGAGAATGGACTCGAATAAGATTTTCGACGAGTAGCATTCTATCAAGTTCACGACGGCGTACTTTATTTCGAGCTTTTCCAGCAGTGATGTAACCGCCATTGATTTTCCCGTGCTCGGTCCGCCGTAAACGAAGACCGCTTCTACGTAGGGTTCGTCTTTGTATGCAAACAGATTATAAAGTTGTTCGATTTGAATATTTCGGCAAGGCATTACCTGCTGCAAGGATGGTAGAGTTTGATCCATCGTGGGATGTTTGGAGATTAGTTCAATGGATCCTAGAACAAAGAAAAATTTCATTAGTTTTTATAGTCTCTGAGAAAAAAATTCTATACAAAGACGTAACATCAGCACACTTCAAAGGCATACAATAAATATCAATAGCAATATAATAATCATTTGAATAAATCCATTATGCATGATTACTACTGATGAACAGAACGTAATATTCTCAACCAATATTGAACAAAAGTAATTTTTTGTGAAGGAAATCAATGTTTTTCATCGACATTCTTTGGGCATTTTCACCTTACACAAAAATTATAATGGGAAACTTCATACACGAGCGTAGAAAGAGCACTCTGATTTCAGATTGTGGAAGTTTAAAATACCCAATACCCAAACTATGTTTCTGACAAATATGTACTAATAACATCATTGAGTTTTTTTTACTATTTTTGGTATCTTTTATACCAGAAGTTTGGCCAAACTGTTTGTAGTTGTCTGAAATTAATAAATGAATTATTACAAAAATCTTATTAAACAACAGGTGTTCCGCTGTTCTTGTAACAAAATAATGAATTTTGAGGCATATCGAGCAATCTTTTGAAGATAAGTCTAATGAAAGTAGGTGAGATGTAAGAATTTGAATATAAACAACTGAATCTTTATAAATACATTGTTGTGATTTTCAATTTGATAAATTATTTATTTTACAACTCTTCTATATACTTGTAATGTACTGTTTGGAACCTTTGGTGTAGTAATGAATATTACTACACCAAAGGAAGATCTTCCTCTTGAAGATAATCACTTGGTGATCGAAACATGTGTCGAGGTGTTAAAATAACGGTTTGGTGTTGGAAAAAACTCCAGCAATATTCTTAACTCTTTGATATGCGTCTGGTTTACCCAACTGATACATTACGGTTTTGTCATTAGGACTGCTCTTCCATTTGTGGCAGCAAAATAATTTTTATAACCCAAGAAAATATTCAAATTTATCGACTCAGAAAAATGTTTATCATTCAGTAAATTGCTGGATGTATATAGCTGTTACTACATGGTAGGAGATTATCGTGAAAAATAAGAAATACAACTTTCTATACTTTCTCAGCACTTTTATTTGTAATTAATATTACTGCAGTTTCCTCCTATAAGGACATGTTCAACAAAAGTTTAATTTAATTGTTTGAAAATGTTCTTATTGGACGAAACTGCAGTAACATTGGTACCAAATAAAAGTGGTAAAAAACATAGAAAGTTTCATTTCTCATTTTTCATATGCATCATTCATTCCACACGTTTTCAAGTTTCCTTAAATACAATTCTTCAAGATCATTCTTATTGTCACATGAGGGGTTCATGTTTTTCCATTTTCTTTATTCTATCCTTTTAGTGTGTTATTTCTCTCTTCCCTATAATCCCCTATTCGTACGTGTCTTTACAGTAAAAGCCATTGCATGACGAAACACGTGTTGCGTTTTTGTGATAATCTCACAATAAAGTGTTTTTTGAATACGTTATTTATGGATTTTCATCAAGTACAGGCCAATTTCATCATATATCTTTTTTTTTCTGATTGATTCGGCCGTTACTTGATGAAGATCCATAGTAATTTCATAAACTACCCTCACGATTTGATCTCCACAAACTTTATTTGTGGACCTTTATTTGTGTAGCTTTATCAACAGTGATTTGAATCATATATCAAATAAACTGCCCATATTAATATTCATACTTTTCTCCCGGTACAATATTTTTGAGCTACTCAATAATTGTATTCACATTTATGATAAACGTAAGATGATTGTCTTTGTAGTTTCTATATTAGAAACATTTTAAAATTATAGTACCCATTTCATGTTCATGTACAACAACTACAAATACAATGATTTGTAGAACACTTACCCTTAATATACAATTTATCACATCAACATCAGTCACAAAAATTATTTTTCTATGATTATTGAGAAAAAATCAATTATTTTTCAACTTCTTGTTCAGAAAGTAGCCAAAAAGACCCATAAGTCACTACCTTGAAGCCAATCACAGATGAGCAAATTCATAACTTCACAGTTGCCTTTCAATGAATTTTTTATCGCAAATGAGCCTCAAGAATTTCAAACTAAGCATTCCTCTCAAATGTCAAAATAAATAATTGAACTGACAGTTCGTTTTTGAAGATATAGTTTCTAACGGAACACAAGAATAAAAACATGGACTCGGAAAGTGAAAACGAGTATCCCCACTAGAAATTTGTGATGTGTCGAAAAATTTTATAATTGTCAAAAATTCGTCACTTAACAACATTAAAGCGATTAGGAACTCAAATAGCGTTATTTTATACTAACGAGTGAGTAGCTTCTTGGGTTAATGGTTAGAACTCTGTGCGAGTTTAATCTCAGGTCAAGTAACACCTCGAACAGATTTTTGAAATTGAATATTTCTAGTGATGAAATTCAATGCTGTTACTCTGATTCGAGACATCCTTCAGAAATGAATCTTTAGAAGTCATAGAAAAAGTAATCTATTCGCAAAAAATGATCATGAATACGACTTATACCTTCGACTCTCACAAGTAATGGCCACATTTCTTGCCCTCTGAATAATTTACCATTTTGGTACTAACCCTTCAATGTATTTTTGTACATACTTTCTGGAATCTCACTATGCAAGGATATATTCGAGAATCGCATCGATTTGTATTACAAAAAGTAATTGTAATATGATAATAATAATAATGTTTATAATGGGTTTATAGGTTCCTGACACAAGGTGCAGGGCCTGCCGTGAGGCGCCCGAGACCCGAGACCTAATGCACTTGCTATCAGCATGTCCAGCATATGCGGTCTCGGCCTAGATCCATCAACATAACGCGGCTCTAAGAGTGCTATATTACCATCTACGGCACTCTTACGGTATTGACGAGATACCGGTGTTGCCCTACGCTCCGGGGGATATTGAATCCGTTGTAGGGAATGAGAAGTGCCGAATTTATTGGAACTATTTGTTCCCCACCCTCAGGCTCATACAAGCTAATGAGCCTGATGTAGTCCTTTCGACCATCAGAGCAAGACAATATTTGTCATGGAGTTTTCAGCTCCTGACGAGACGAATATCGTCCGGAAAGAGGAGGGAAAACGGTTGAAACATCGAGATTTTCTCTTCGAACTCCGCAGACTATCCAGACCACTCTATCAAAATGGTTGTTCTAATTATTGGAGTCCTTGGTGGAATGATGCCCTGTCTACTCTCATATCTTAAAATCATACCGGCTTGCCGCACTAAGGCAGAAATCTCAGCAACACAGTTGCAGAAGGATGTCATTCTTGGCTCACTGCGCTTGCTCAGGGCACATGATTCACGGACCCAATGATCATGTACCCCACGGTGTGGGGGAGTGGTCATTGGTTGATAATGCTGGCGCGCCCTCCCGAATGTATCGGGGATTCGGGGGATAGGGCCTGACCAGCGCACACTACCGCCAAAAACAACTACAGTAACCAATGTCAATATTACAAATAAATAAAGAGTTAGCCACATAAAGCATTGCTTTGTATAGTGGTTGAGAGAAAAGAAAAAAAGGGGAACGGATTTGAAAAAAAAAAGAATGAAAGTTATCACTTTATATACATCAATGATATATACTAACAGTCTTTAGTCAATATCAATGCATATCAGACGTTTACTCACGTGATCATGACTAACAATGTTTATGTACCGACAATTATAGAACGGGCTTGAAAAATCTCAAATTTGAACATAAACCGGCTTATATCATTCAGCAGTACTCTACAATTATGATATATTTGATGATTATTTGATGAGTCAAGTTAGTCTTAATAATAAGATGCAGTTGCAGATTAAACAAAAACGTAAATATTACTGGAGTTTTTTCCCAACACCAAATCGTTATTTTTAACACCTCGACACGTGTTTCGATCACCAAGTGATCATNCTCTTGATCTGTAGAATGTCTTTTTTTTTATTACCAGCAGTAATTTCATTTGAAAGATTTTAAGTTTGCATTTTATTTTTATTTATTTTATGTTGATAGTTGTTTTATTAGCATTTTTCAGGAGTTCGTTTACTTTGTTCCTAAAACTTTTTAATTTTGTGATGTTTTTTTTCTGTAGGATTTAGTTCCATATTCTTGGACAAATTATTTTTTTCATTTACCGATTTCACTAATCCTTTGGTGATGCAAATCTGTTGTTTTTGTTCGTTTTCTTCATTCTGACTTTTTTTGGTAGCTTTTGAAATCATTGATAGCATCGTGTCCACAAAATTTTCAGCAGCCTGTTCGGCATCAATATTTGGAGTGGATACATTTTCCCAAGATTATGTAGAAAGAAATTATATCAATTTGTTTTTATTCAGCACCATTTTGTGTTTCTCATAATCATTATGTTCAATTTTTTTTCTTGTAAATTGACATGAGTAGCTACGGAAAAATGATCAGTGAGTCAATCCTGTTTGTATGACACCTGCCAAAATGTTATTATCAGATAGGTTTGATTTAATGAATATATGGTCTATACATGTTTAGGATTCACCACATATCCTCGTATATTTATTTATTGTTGATACGAAGTCCATGCTTTCTAAAACATTCAAGTAATCATGTACAAAATCTTCCGTATTTGAAATATTTATATTAAACAATTTTAAAATGTATTGATTTGTATTTCAGATCTATATTATTCATTTTAAATAATCTTCATATTGAACGATGTCATTTTTTGTGTAAAAAAATGTATCGACCTTCTTTGGATATTTTCACCTTACATAATCTGAAAAATATAAACATTGTAATGAAGAACTTTATACAAGTGTAGAAAGGGTAAACTTTTCAGTTTGCCCCGATAAGTAACTGCGTAAATTCAAGGTATTTTTCACAAAGAAAAATGTTTTATTTATTCAATAATATTGCCTATCATAAAAATAGCTACGAATTCATACAATACTTATCTTAACGTTTCGGAGGCCAAAATCTGCCTCAGTCTTCAGAAATGGACAGCATTCAAGTATCTACGCAGTTATTCCTTTGCTGATT